CCAGCTGTGGTTATGGTTTAGATGTCACAGTTTTTCTCTGTTCTTACTGAGAGTTGTCAAGTTTTCTTAAGAAAAAATGTTTCATTTGTACATGTACTTAGACAATTTTCAAGGCTTTAAATCACTGAATTTTATATTTTCACCAATTATAGTTGTTTCCCTGGAGAGAGGGTCCACAGATACTATTATACTGCCATACTAGCAGTGCTTCCCTGGTGTCACCTAAAACTGTTACAAATTTTTCAGAGTTTTATGGGTGGTTCCAAATCCAAACATGTATTAGATATACCTTTCTATCCCCATACTCATGGGCACAGCATTTAGGGAAGGACTTTCATATACAAGGATCAGAAATAGTCTTCAAGGGAAATATATCAGGTGTGAGCAAAGAGAGAACTTCTGTTTCTGTACATTTAAGTGAACTAAGTAGTAAGGTCCATTCGCATCTTAAAAGACTAATATGTCTGGTTATTGATTAAATATTTTAGTTACATTAATAATTAGTAAATTAGTAGAATGCTCAGAAATCAGTAATACATAAAAAGACAGGACTCAGGAGTAATCACACTGAAAGTGGCTTTCATCTTAAGGATATTTGGTGAATCAGATGAACTTGGACATCACTTCTCAAAGCTTCTCAGTACCTGTGGAATATAAGGAAGCCCAGAGCCCACCTGAGGAATCTACAGTAATAGAGGAGACCATCCCCATAGAAGTTGAGACTGTAAAAGGCTAAAGTGTTAGTATAAGACAAACAAGAAATATTTCCCTTCATGAACTATAAAGAAAAATGCTTGACTCCTAACTTAGTGTTGACTGAAGATATGAGAATGTCTCTGAGAATTTGTAACAATAAACAAACCCTCACCTGAGCTTGCAACTAAACTTTACACTGTCTGAATGATCAGAAATCCTGAAGCTATTTAAACCTGTCTCTGACAGGACCGTTTTCCATCCAGGCTTCAAAGACTTTTCAGAAATAATGGTCTAAGGCAGTTAAGTTCACAGTCAAAAAATACACAGGTAAATCTAAAACCAAGAGAAGCCACAGAGATAGAGACAACATATCTAGGTCTGCCAAGATCTCAGATATTGAAACTACTAGCACATAAAGAAAGGAAATACATTTAATATGTTTACAGAAATTTAAAAGGATTTAAAGAAACAGCAACTGATTATTAAAAATGATCAGGCAAAGTTTTACATATGAAAAGCATAGTAATGATAAAATTCACTGGATATATGTTTAAGAAAATATTAAATATAGTTGAATTTGGTGAGCAAAACAGCTCATAAAATAATTTTTTCTTTTTTTATTTATTTTTTGACAACTCATACAGAATTTTACTTAACAAAGTAATATGAATTTCACAGTATTTGTTGTAATACATGGTATTATCTTACAACCAGCTATTCATATTACCAGATATATACACAGAAAATTGGAAGAAGAAAAAACTGGAGCAATGTATAAGAAATTAAGAAAAGAAAAAGTACAAACAATTGAACAAAAGGAGATGAAGCTAATTAGAGCATTGACTGCTTCTTTCCATTTTTTTCCTTCTTTTTTTTTATTTTTATTTATTTTTTTATTTTTTTGTTCTGTCAGAGGTGAATATTCTATTGGCATCTTAATACTATAAGTGTTTGAATTCAACTGAACATCTAACACTGTCTAGCAGTCTATAATATTAGTGGGTTATTGTCAGAAGTTATTGACTTGAGCCTTTTACAGCTCATTGTATTAATATGGATTTACTTTATATACCTCATTTTTATACTTTTCTACTGGATAGTTAAGACCAAGATATAGCAAGACCTATATACCCAGAAATGTATCTGATAAGGTCAGCCAAGTACTCTCAGGATTTATCCTGTAGCCCTGTACCACCATCTTTTGTGCATCCTTTTGTCAGTGTCTGACATGAGGATGAGTCACGGCCATTGCTTGACCAATTTGCTCTCTGTGAAAGCTTGAGAAAATGTTTTTTCTCTCCATGTAACTCTCCCCAGGCTCACTTTAGATCCTCGAACACATTTCTCTGTGGCTCCATAATCTTCTTGATCAGAAAATTTGGAGCACAACTGAGTTACATGTTGTTACAGTACAGGTTCTCCTATGTCCCGAGTCCTCACTGACCTTGAAAGGCTAGGGCCAAAATGTTGGCTAATCATGCAGCCCTTCCTTTTCTCCAAATTTTGATCTCCTAACTTAGGTTGTTAACCCTCCAGAAGAGAAGCTAATTATTAACCTGCAATATATGCAGTTCGGTTTATCCTATCTGTAGAAATATCAAAAATAAAATTAATTTTTGTTGGATGCTGGGTTGACATTTATTTGTTAGTACATTTTACTGCCCTCTGGTTCCAGTATTACCATTGAGATATCTAATTGTGTCCCTTTGATGGTATTTTTCCCCTGTCTGGCTGTTTTAAAGAACTTTTCTCATTTTTGGTGTTTTGCATTTTTTTATTGTAGTGAATAAAATTATAGATTTGTTTTTATTTTCCTTTCTTAAAATTCACTGGAATGCCTAAGCATAATGGATTTTTATTTTGTCTTTGGTCAGTTCTCAAAAAATTCTTGGTCATTAGCTCTTCTTACATCACCTTATCTCCATTCTCTTTTTTTCCCTCAAGAAAAAGACTTACGTTAAATCTATTCTATGTAACCTCTCATATTTTCTATCTCAGTCTTAGTTACGCATAATACCACACATTTGTCTTCCAACTTACTTCAACTGTGAAACCAAGTATTTTAATTACTGTTAGTATTATATCTATAATAATAATGATAAAATTCACTGGATTTAGGGTTTTATAACCAAATTCCATAATTTTTAGGACGGCATACTGAATGGGCGGGTGGGGGGGGGTAGATGGATGGATGATGTAAGGTATGATATCTGTATCTTAAAATACATATCCAAAGAGAGTATAGGCTGGTTCTTAAACATTCCAGAATCTGGATGTGGTTTTATAGGATTTTTGTTTTCCTATTGTCTCTGCTTTGTGCCTGTTTCAAAAGCCTCGTGATTCAAGAGGACTAGAAACATCTGACTGGATTACATATAACTGCCATTTAATTTTTTTTTCAAAGACAGAAAAAGGTGTCAGAAGCCAATGCCATACATGAATAGAAATTAGACAAATTTAAAAAATAATGTTTTAGGAATTTAACTTGGCATAACACAAAAGGTGCAGTGCTATGTGGCTCTGAGGACAGAGTTCCTGGCTGTCCTGGATGGAAAGGAAATCCACATACTCAGGATTGTACAGCTAAAAATGGACTTAGGTGCTTCTTTCAGTAGCATTCAGAATCAAGTTCAGCCTTTATCTTCATCAACATAATAGAATGAAATATTGTGTGGAGAAAGGATCAGATTATAGAGCCATATGAGTGTAAAATACTTGAAGTATTAAAGAAGCAATCATATATACAAAAGAGTGACTTTGAAAACCATTTTGGGAAAAACACACTTGGTAAGCCAGTTTGAAAAACATCAAGCAGTTCCTCAAAGTATTAAGTATAGATTTATCATATGACCCAGGGATCCCATTCCTAAGTATATACTCAACAGAATTAAAGATGACAGGTGGCACACACCTGTAATCCTAGCACTTGAGAGGCTGAGGCAGGAAGATCACCATGAGTTTGAGGACACCTGGGCCTACACACTGAGTTCAAGGCCAGCTGCACTGCAAAGCAAGACCTCAAAAAAAAGAGAATTAAAAATTATGTCTGCATAAAAACTTGTACCCAAATGTTCATGTTATCATTATTTGTAATAGCTCAAAGATGGAATGGATGTATAAAGAAAATGCAATGCTATCTATACATCTATATAATAGAACATTATTCAGCAATAAAAAGGAATGAACTATTGCCGTAACACATGGGTTAACCCTGAAAACATTCAAAGTAAAACTATTAAACATCAAATTTAGGCAAATCCATAAACACAGAAAGTAGATTAGGAGATATGGAGAGGGATGGGAAAATTGAGAGTAAGTGCTAATGGCCATGCATTTCTTTGACAGCAATAAAAATAATCTAAAATTAAACAGGATTATACAACTCTAAGTACATTTTTGAGAACCACTGAGTTTTGTGGGTTTACTTCAAAAATTTTATATCATGTGAATTCATATCCCACTAAAGCTGTTACTTTTTTATAGAGGAATAGAAAGAGGAAAGGATTTGTACCAAAATGGTTTTATCTCATTACCACTCTTAATAATGCCATCTAGGTACTAAAGTTTTGTCAAATTCAAAAAGCCACATGGGGCTGGAGAGATGGCTCAGTGGTCTAAAGCACCTACTTAGAACAAGCTTAGCAAAGCATCAGGGACCACGGTTCAATCCCCCAGCACCACATGCCAGCCAGCCCCGCCCCCTGGTGGGCTGAGCTGGCCACACACACACACCACACTCTCTCTCTCTCTCTCTCTCTCTCTCTCTCTCTCTCTCTCTCTCAAATAAAAAAAAATTAAAAAAAAACAAAAAGCCACATGACTTTTTTTGTAACACCTGAGAATGCTACATGTAAAGCAGAAATGAAAAGAAAGCCAAAAATTCTCTTATTTCCCAACCTCTACCCCTTCTGGTGCAGTAACTTTTCAGCCCGGATGGCACAGTGGCTCAGAGGACTGAGAGTCTCCTACCCTAGGGCTAATGATGTATTGTGCACAGTGGCAGCCCTCCCACTCACAAAAGTCCCCTACTAACCAGCAGTGAACACATTCAACACTGGAAAGCCAGCTCTAATGATGTGTGCATGTGTGTGTATATGGTGCTGGGGTTCGAATCCCCAGGCCACTAATGATGATTGCCTTCATCAGAATGGTCATGGCTAAGTGTGATCCCATACATACATCCACACAAACACAAGGGAAGAATGCGGGCTTCCAGTGACTAAATGACAACAGATTGTTTTTCAGTCCAGTTGACTTTCACTCATCTTGTGTTTTCTCTCTCCCTTTTCTGCCTTGTTTTTCAGTGGCTGCTTCAACCCCCAACTCCACTGCTGGTGCAGCCATGAATTCCTTGACCTCTCTTGGGACTCTGCAAGGACTGGCTGGAGCCACTGTTGGACTGAATAATATTAATGCACTAGCAGGTACCATAAACAGTGAGTATTTGCTGCTCTGGTGGACAGCCTTCCCCCAAATTCTCCACAGAAAATGGTCAACCAGAAATGACCTAAAAAGGACATGGAATGGGGAGAACTAAAACTTGGGATGGAGGAGCACATGCTATGATAAGCAGATTCTGTCCACTCACTTTGCCTCAAAAATACTCAACCACTTACCACCTCCCAACTCTTTTCAAGTCATCCATAGTTTGCCAGGGTTGACAGATATTTTCAGGTTTCAAGGAATTTGGTTTTCTCTTCCTGCTGCAAGGAAGTATATTAAAATAGAAGAGCTAATGGAGTAGATGTCAGTGGCATGATCCAAATTAACTGTAAGAGCTCAGGTGACTCACTGCTCCCGCTCTGGGGTTCTGAGTCTCCATTTGGAAACTGAAAGTTCTGGGTCAGATGAGCTTAAAGACTTGACAATTGTAGAGTGGAGCAAATGAGACCTGGGAAAGAAGGAAATGAAACTAAGTGGAAAGGAGGTGCTTCTGGAGAGAGCATCATTGGGAATCTTTAGTAGCAGTGTCTTCTGAAAAGTATCATTCTACTAGTGGGGTGAAGTAGGTTTTGAGGCGAATAGATTACCATATTATACTTTGTTCTGAAACACAGGGGCTCACCAAAGAACTACAGGATCTATCTTATACAGTCAACCTACACTTGCTCCTGTCATTTTAAATACACATGAAGAACAGTAGCCAGGCCTAAGAATAAGTTCTGTTTAGACCTGTGCTTGATGTAGGATCTAGGGCTGGAGGAACTGATCCTCAGCCCTGAGAAGACACCTATTTTGTCTGTGTTTCCATTCAGTTGCCCTGGTTGCCTAAGAGCAGACAATCAATTTCTAGGTTTTGAGCCCAGTTATATACCACATAGCCCAGCCCACCTAACATCTCTTGTTTATTTTTTAATGAAGGTATCCTCACTATTTACCCTACTTTAAAGGCCACGATTCAATTTGTAAACTTCTTTTAAAAGCCAAAGACAAGTTTATACTTTCAAAGTTCAGAAAGAATACCTTGCAATTTATTTGGTTAAAAATAAAACTTAAAAAATAAAAACCTAAGACTCATCCAAATAGAAATTAACGTGTATAATCCTAGTAAGAAGAGTAAATTGTGTTTAGAAGTAGGAAATTTTCAGGATTAAATTCTTGTATTCGATTGTTCTGAGAAAAAACTTACACTAAGTTTTATCCAATCATAAGAAAAATACAATTGTTTTCCTTCCAAAAATAATGTATCTTGATTAGCATATAGTATGTGACTGATGCTAACCATGTGGAAGTTAAATGTGTTATTCCAATTAAAACTGCCTCCAGCTTTTACATTTTCCAGCAGACAAATAGGAGCCTCACTGCCTTGACTCCAGCTTCTGGTACGGCTCCTCTTTTGACCTTGTTCTGCAGAAGCACCAGCCCACATGTCCTTCACCTAGGTTGAGGACGTATGTGTTCACCCACATCCCCTCATGCTGCTTCTCTTGCCCCAGGACCTAGTTCCCCCAAACAAGGACTTTGATTTGATCGCCCGCCTGTCCTTGGTCTGCAGAGTAACAGGCCAGTGGGAATGGTTGTCCTCCTCAGCACGTGCTCATGACTGCTCTGTGTCTGTCTTCTTGTCCATGTCCTGCTCCTCTCCCCACTCTATTCTGTTGTGTGTTTCTGGTTTTTTCCATCATAATCATGAAGACCACAGAGGGATTTTGTGGAATGTTAGAGAAACCATAACTAGTTCTTCTGTGGGGTGTTACGTTATATCAAATTTGCTCTGGCAAGGACAACAGGTTTAAATTGCTCTGCTTCTTTAAATTCATAGTTTATAGGAAACTAAGAAAAAAATTCTAGTTTCATATAACCCCTACCAATCAGGATGAACCCAGAAAATGTTTAATTATAGCAAAAATTATACACAAATGAAAACACATTGCTTCTCATTTGATAAGTGTTACTAATACAGAGCTCTGTTACCATCTCAAAATTGACTTGGAGCTAATATTTGCTGTTTGTCTCAAATATCAAGAGAAAGCCTGCTAGAAGAGAGCATCCTCTTTCAAATCATTCTTCCTCAATAGAACTGATAATGCTACCTGAATTCTGGACAACTCTTGAAAAAATTAATAAAAATGGCTATGCAGATAGAGTTAGCATTTAAAATAGTTGACCGTAGCTTCCAAATTTTTGTTCTTTTCTATCTAATGAACCATTACTTGATATCCCAAGAAGTATAAAATTTTGTTGTTGCTTTTCTTTTTAAATTTAAGCAAGTCTTTTAATGTACAAAGAAACAAGAAAGTAGGCAGATGACTTCCTTACCCTAGATTTGGTCCTCTTCCTTTCTAGGGGAGGCCCATTTCTCCTGAAAGGGAATCTCAGGTTTGTAGATACAGAGCTAGATTAAAATGAGCTGGATGCCGTTTTTCTTCCCTAATACAATACTGAAGAGGCTTTCAAAATAGACAGCTCTCTTAAAAAGCAGAAATCAGGGAGATCAGAAGAAGGATCATAAGTAATTCAGGGCTTTCACCTCTGGATTTTTTAAGGGTCTCCTAGATACAATTTTATAGATTAATATCTGAACTAAAATGAAGAAAAAACTTTATTTATGTCAACCCAAGTTTGTGCCTGACTTGGTATGCTTAAATGTAAGTAACATCCTTATTTTTCCTGGTATATTTCTTCCAAATATACTACTGCGTAGTTCTTCCCAACAGCTTGCCACGTACCACTTAAAACTATAATTCTTTGAACATAACCAGTCCCAAATGCCTGGTGAAGAGTGTTTATAAAACTATTGTATGTAAAGATAAAAGAAGATGCTGTGGGCACAGTAGTGTACCTTGTCATTCTTCATCTGCATTTCAACAACTGAAATCACTGTTTTAATCTCTGTTCTTAGAACTTGCTAAAATGTATGGACTTAAGTTGCATAAGTATGCACAATGCCTATTTGAAACCTTAACACAGACATACATGAAAGTGCCACTAATTGTATTCATATTTTTTCTCTCCCCTAGAGCCAGACATCTTATGCTTAGGGTTTTTTTGTTTGTTTGTTTTTTTTTTTTGCAGATTTATACCTTTATTTTTATTTTTAAGGAGAGTAGAGATTAGAATTAAAACAGAAAAAATTACAAGTTGTACAGAATTTCACATAGTAAAGTAATAAGAATTTCATGGCATTTATTTTAATACACAACATTCTCTTTCAACTAGTTATTCATATTACCAAATATATGGATGTAAAATTGGAAGAAGAAAGAAAAAAAGAAACAAGTATATAAGGTTTTAACTTAATAACTTATAGCTTAGAATGACATGCATCATATATACAAAGCAGAACTTATCCCAGGAAATAGCTTACAAATCTATTAGAACATACTATTACATTGCTTATTTTCATCAATTGGTATAAAACCTAGCAGACTGGTATGCAAATAAACATAGTCTGATTAAGGTACACTACCACTGATACTACTTTTCAGAACCAACTCCATAGTGGTCACTAAGAAAGTTTATGCTTATATTTATGGCTAGGTCTGTGTATGTCATTTTAACAGATTTACAGAATAACCTTACAGCTTTTTGGTCTGTAAAGTTGAAGGCCTTCAGAGAACAATTCAGGGTAAAGCACCTATGCAGGCTGTTTAACAACTGTTTTGACAGACCAGTTACAAGGACTTCCCTTGCAAAAGTTTGTCACACCTATCACATTATTCCTGCCTTCCTCACCAAAATAGCTCACATAAGATTTTAGACGAAATGGGAGGAAATGGTCAATCCATTTGGGCTATTCAAAGAAAAGCCCTGTTCTTTTATGTGAAACATTTTATTCAGCTTGACTCACCCCTTTTTCTATTGTCCAAGACTTTTAAAAGTAATTAGATACTAGCAGCTAAGTTGCCAAGTGTTATCTTTGATACAGTGATTATTTAATATGCAATAACATCCATCAGGTAATTCACACAAATTACTTTCAAAGTTAAAATCTTCCTTTGATGTTTCCTCAAGTTCTGCCATGTATTTATTATCCTTTCTACCCTGCGTTTTACAAACAACCCCCACCCCAATTTTCCATGGTAAATTTTGGGCTTCAGTATTCTCAATGCACTCTCCTTTCTTAGAATTTGTGCCTTTACTTTTTTTCTAAAGAGGGTAGTACTATAGAAGAGGCAAGGGCTGGGGTGGAAAGGCCAGACCCCCCTCACCTTTACATGGATCCTGACTAGCCCCCTTTGGCACACACATCCCACCCACTTGAGGCCCCCTCTGCCGCTTCCCTCCCCTTCCCAGGGCACAAGAGGCCAGCCACAGCATCTCCCACAGCTGCAACAGGAGCAAACAACCCTTCAGAAAGCTGAACCTCCCTGAAAACACAGCCAACCACTGGGACCTAGAGCCCTCTGATGCTGTACTTTGGGGACATAAAATTCCATTTTGTTTCTGCTTTGAGAGGAAAAAAAAACTGAGGAAACGGGAAAGACTTTCTTTAAAAGATAATCCTCCTAACCTGGATAATAGAAAATGCCACCAATGGAAGGAAGGACAGAAGGAAGGCCACGTACCAGTGAGCACTACAGAGGCCTCCTAGAGAAGATGAGGGGCAGAGCGTACAGACTGCAAGAAGACACTTTGGTGGGGCTTAAGCTACAAAGCTTGAAAACTCCAAGGCCTTCACCTGACAAGACACGGAGCTGTGACAGTCTTGCCCATTCAGTGGTAGGGGGATTCAGAGCTCCACTGTTCAACATAACAGAGCCAAGACATTCAGCTGTGCTACCCCAGAGCTCCGTAGGCTGCCACATAAACCAAAGAGAAACACACACCTTGAGACATAAGCAGAGTGGCAAGACGTTGTTCACTTTGCTGTTAGCAGTTGTTCCCACACAGGAATCTAGTTTCCAGAGGGCTGAGCACAAGACCTGCACTCCTGCATCTCTCATACCTGTTGACAGCCTGGCACAAGTAAGCAGGAGAGCTTCTCTGCAGGACCTCCTCCTTTGCCATGTCACTTCTCTCAAAAAGGAACATGGACAATTCTTTGTATCACACAAATACTGGGAAGTGAGGATGCAATAAGACTAAAGGAGGAAAAAGAGTAATTATTCCCCAGCCCTTTAGCAGCTATAACAGGAATGGAGGAAAGGAGATGGTGAGGTAAATGTGATCAACTGGTGTCTAAGGAATTGTTAGAGTAATAAGCAGCACATACTATTTCTAAGTTTAAATGATTATTTGATGACCAAAAAGAAAAAAAATAGACTCCTTCATAGTAAAAACTGTAAGCAGAAACAGCAGTGCCTTTGGGCTTACTCATACTCGTTGGGTCTCCTTCAAACCACTTTTATTAGTGGACTGTTACCCCATTCTCAGGCCCTTCAAACCTGCTTCACCAACATGCCTATCCCTCTCAGAGGATGGTGTTCTCTGAATCAGCCCCTGTGGCCTAGCTCTGTCTCAAGCTACCGCAGGAATCCTAGCCCAGAGGCACTGTGAAAGCCTTCTACCAGTAACCCATGGTTTAATTTATATCTTGCATATTGACCTTTTAATCTAAGAGATGAAGTTAGCAAGATAAGAGAAACACATATGGAGGAAATAGGACATGTCCTACCTCCTCTATTTCCTGTGGATGGCAAGCAGCAACAGTGACAGGAGTGTTAAGATGAATCTATTTGATTCCATTGTATAATTTTCAAGCATCCTTATCTTAGCTATACTCTATTCTCATTAGACTCCTTACAATTTTCTTCAGTCATTTTTGCTATTTTAATACCTCTAGTCAATAACCATAATCCCATCAAGATTTTCATTAATGTTGTTTTTCTGAGAAACAAATCTTTTAGAACCCTTTTTAATCATAAAGGAAACCAAAAGTAATTGTGATGTTACTACTTCTATTTCCTGCATTTACATGAAAATTTAACATTCTAAGAAGCCCTGCTTGCTTTACTCAATTCTCAGGGAAAATGTGACACAATCAGTAACCACAATAGAATGGCCAGGATACAAGGACAAAATCAAGAGAGCAACTAACTCATCAACATCAATTAATAGCCTGGATCCAGCACACAGACAGTGTCACTGTAACTGGTTGGAAGAAGTGAAGCCTTTTCACTGGCTCAAACCTGTTACCCAAACTGCTTAATATACCTGTGGGTGCATATAGGTATATAATAAGTATCGACTGCTAAGTCCATGCCATTCACTTTCTATCCTTTGCCTGGAATAAGTAGCTTGAGTTCTCTGCAGTTATGGAAAGTGTTCACATTTACTCCCATTCTTTAGTTTTTAAATCATCTAAGCTGTTTTTTCCTATGGCCCTCGTCCCTGACAGCATCTTTCATCTGTTTAGGAAAAACCGTTAATAACATGCTGACTCACTAGTTCTTGGAGTACAGAACTTGTCTGCTCTTCCATTTCTTCATCTGACAGCTTGAGGGGGGGAAAGTAGTATTTTATCTTGCCTCCTTACCCCCTTGAGCCATCTCATGGCTCCTCAAAGAGCCTAGTCGATGGATTTCAGTGTACAGATGTCACAGGCCTCTGCCACTCATGATTCTAAATTCTAAGAAGCAGAAGGCTTTTATTTCAAAAAGGTAACAGTGGTACTTGCCAGCAGCACGCTGCATGAAATTAAGATGAACCGTCTACTGTAGTGCCTCTGTCTACTGTAGTGCCTCTGTGAGTTTTGATTACTGGCCTCGGGAGTGAAGACTGTCACTACTTGGGTCTTTTTCCCATTATTTTGATTGTTTCCTCATGGTTTTATTTTGATTTTCTGTTGGTTTACTTGGTGTGCTAGCTGCATGCACTTGCTGTTGTACTTGTGTCAAATGATTCTCTAACTTCCTTTGGAAAGCACTAATGAATAAGTGCTATTTCTCTTCTCTATTGTTGGGTTTTTTGTAAAGTTGCTCAAATGCTCTCAGGTATGGCGGCTCTGAATGGAGGACTTGGCGCCACAGGCTTGACGAATGGCACAGCTGGCACCATGGACGCCCTCACCCAGGCCTACTCAGGAATTCAGCAGTACGCAGCAGCTGCGCTGCCCACTCTGTACAGCCAGAGCCTGCTGCAACAGCAGAGTGCTGCAGGCAGCCAAAAGGAAGGTATGTGCCTGCCCTGGGCCCCCACACCAGGGCCAGGCAGGGCCATCTCTACCCACATTTGCCTTTAAAGCACACTTAGAAAATGCTGAATTGAACCCATGTCGTAAGAGAAGTCAGTTGTTCTATATCTAGTGTTCATGTTTTCAAAACTTTAAGCTTCTCTCCTGTGCATTTTTTAATTTTTCATTCAGCTATTAAGCTGAAATTCTCATGTCATACCTCCACATGCATTTATTAGTTGCTACTGTAAGGAATTTATGAGGACGCTCCCTCTCCCAATGAGCATGGACCAGGAGTTTCTCCCTTAATGCAGACTATTCTTAGCAGAAGGCTTATGCAGGCTGCGCATGCTCCTTCCTGCATTCCCCAGGAGTCCGTTCACCCTGTGCTTTGTGGCTGCCTTAGTAGCCCACACGCCTCAAGCTAGTGAAGAAATCCACCCTTCCGATCCACTTGGCCTTGATTTCATTGAGGGTCTTCTGGGGAAGCAAGTGACTGACTGCCTTGCTTCCCTGCCAAGGGCAAATGCACTGCAGGAAGTTAATGCTGAAGATGAGTTAAAGCCAATTATAAAATGGTTAATAACGTAATCTAAATATAGTTTGTCATCATTCCTTTTGATTCCTTTTTCCTTAATTTAAGTTGTTTTAAAGCAAAATCAATGACAAGCTATTTTTCCTGACTTATTTAGAATGTGAGAGGGAAGCTAAAATAGAAAACTAATGAAGATTTCCAAAGTTTCCTTTTCCTTCGCCCTCACCCAAAAGTTCGAAACTGCTTTTGTCTGAATATTCTTAACTTAAAGCATGATGTGGTATAAGAATCATTTTCCTTTGAAAATTAAGAGAACACAGCTTAAGAGATATTCATTTTTTTCTTTTGATAAACAACATAGAGATCATTAAAAATGAAAGGTATGTGAAAATCTGGGGGTTTTTTATCATTTCAGCTTTCTCTTTACTCTCAGTTGTGATTGTTATTGCAGGTTCTTTTAATATGCAACTGTTCAGCCTACTGTGATTCACCAGGCATGTGAAGGGACTGGCTGGCATCTTTACCACCCCAGGCCCTCCCACCAGTGTTACTGAGTCCTTCTCCAAGGGTCTGACTATTAGGGTGACAAATGAGGGTGGCAGGAAAGCTCCTGTGAGATAATGTGCTCAAGCTGAGACCTTGTATGCTTTTACAGAATGTTGCTCACCTCTCCATTACCGAGCAAGGCCTTAGAGCAAACTATGTAGCTTGTGTCACCAAGAAGGCACAAGGCTGAAAGACAACATTCAGGGGTATAAGTGGGCCCTACAATCTTTTTTTTTTTCCTAAGTGGTTTGTTACTGCCCTCAATTTCTTTGATTAAGTGCTAGGGGTTTGCAAAATAGGTTAAAGTAACTATTGCCCCTGCCTGATTAATGTAGCTCAAGAAATTTAACCTGTTAGTTTAAGTAAAATGTAACCTAAAAGACAAATTATACTAGGAGAGGGAAGAGCAATGAATCCTTTCAGCAAGCTGGATTTCCTACTTCATTTACTCAAGAGAACTGAAAGGTAACAACGGATTCCTCCCTCCCCAGCACATACAGAAATGAACCGGTCTGTCTTATCAATAGTTTTAACATTTTCCCAAATAAATCTTCTGAAGGGTTATAGCATCCCAAAAGATCTAAGTGTGGGAAGACTCAGCACCTTTTTCATCTTCCTAAATATCCTCTGAGTACTCTCATACCTTCTGATCTTCCTTCATTGGAGTGGGCAAGTCACTCACACATATACAACTTAAGGCTTCCAGGGACCCAAAAGGAGCCAGAGGCATTGATGGTCTGGTACAACTTTGTTCCTGCAGATGCTTCCTGGGTTTCATGCTATATCACATGCTCTGTGAAAAGTATAAGATATAAACACTCCAACCTGCTGCGACCAGCAGTGTAACACCAGCAACTCTCCCAAGTTAGAGTGACAGTAGGAAAAATTAGATACAATAGTGATTTGTGGGTAGGGTTTTATTACTTCTAGATTTAGAGGAAAAGGACAGTTCACAGGCAGCATCCTCCTGGGGGAGAGGCAGTGGCCACTTCAGTTGCATACAGGGGAGGCTTTCCATATGAAGTTATCTTTTCTTCATCTTAATAGTAAAAAGCTGGGAGTTTAAAAAATAAGTTTCTTGGTGAAAAAAAAAAAAAAAAAAAAAAAACAGGGCTACGGCACCAAACCAGGAGATGCCACTGACTTTTCTCTGGGAAAATAATGAGCACAAGGGCAAAGCTTCCTTCTGCCTAGCTGTCCCCAGATTCTCGTGCTCTCCCATCTGGCATAGATACATTTCAGATGTACAGAATTCAGAATCTAGGGTTATTCAAGCATACCCAGTGAACTGTTCTATGCATTAAATGTTAATTTTCCCAGGCTTCAAGAAGAGATGTACTTGATAGTTCAAAATGGGTCACATTAATCTCCATTTGTGCATTTGGATCTTTCATTCAGAAGAAACAGTAAATCTGATAGTACCAGATTTGACCTATACAGACTTGGCCATGGCCATCCATTGCTAATTTTGGTTTTTGATCAGTTCATATGAAGTAAGCCCAATAGCTGTGTCCCTTTGAAATGCAGGCTGCCTCCTCTGCAATGCAAAAAGGACCCATCTGTAGAATCTGTGACCAATACAGAGTGTTAAGCTGTTCATTCACACATATCTTTAAGGAAGAAACAGTTTATCTCTGGTTGCAATCATATGTGTCAAAGTCTTCCTTGCAAAAGCCCCATTCATTGGGACACTATGATTTTATGGGAGCAAGAGAAGAAACTCAGATATTCTTTGCAAAGGTGTTTGTGCATTTATTTTTATGAAGTTCCTTATCCCCATTTTATTTTTCAGCTCACACAAAGCCACCCATCCTATCTCTCTGGGAAACCATTGCAGCCTGTCCCCTGGGGCTTCATGACAGGGCAAACAGACAGGCCTGCTCCCTCTCCTGTGAAAGCCAGACGCAGAACCACATACCAGTTGCAAAATTTATTTCACCAGCTCTGTGAGCTTTGTTTCCTCACACACAATGTCCAACAGACATCCAGCCCTTACTCTCTGTTCAACTTAATTGGATTCCTTATTTTTAACTTTGGGACAGCTCTTGTACAGATGGACAGAGAGTTCAGAGAATGAAATGCAGGGGAACTTAAAAGAGCTTTCCCTCTTCATCCAGTATAACTAAGAAAATCTTCTCTTTTCTGTCACTGTTTGTAGTATTTTCTGGCAAAGGATGGATAAAGAGAAAGGAATATAGCTTAGCTGAGTCTGAGATGCTGTATGTCCACTACATTCACTTCCAAGGGTAACTCCCAGTGGCATCATTGTTATCACAGTTATGAGAATCTAAGTACCTTTCTTTCCCAGGCACTGACTAACTGCCAGTCATTTCTAACAGATGACTATTACATTATATTAAGAAAGCCAGGAAATCAAAATTGGCTGGGTAACCGGTAAATGATTAAAAAATTCTAAGCAGTGCTGCTGCTATATTCGTTATTCTAAATTGCTTCAATTTGTTTAGAATGCATAGAACATTCTCTCTTCCTTTAAGAGATGCTACATGTAAGAAAAACATGGTCACCCAGAACACCCATGCACAGATGCTGTGCTCCTATCCTGTGCACTACTACCGTCTTCACTCCCATGAAGAGAATCAAATGAATGTGGGCATGCAGTAAGTACATGGGACCCACAAAAGACCCAGTAAAGGAAGCTGTGTGTAGCCAGTGTCTTTTTGGAAATAGAAAAATCTGAAGGATGAGTGCTTTCCTGAAAGACATGCCAGCTCTTGACGTTTATCCATCTGTTACTTTTCTGTAAGAGAAAGCCAAATGTTTAACCTGCATATTGTTAAAACATTCCTAAGAGGTGCCCTGGGAACTAAGACTTGACAGATACCTTACACTGAATTTTTTCTTCCTCTTAGGTCCAGAGGGGGCAAACCTCTTTATTTACCACCTTCCACAGGAGTTTGGAGACCAGGACATTCTGCAGATGTTCATGCCTTTTGGAAATGTTATTTCTGCTAAAGTCTTCATTGACAAACAGACCAATCTGAGCAAGTGCTTTGGTATGCAAAATAAACCAAGTTAGAATATTCCATTAGTTTCCCAAGTGAGGGAAAAATGTGAATGATAAATCTTTTTGGAGTCAAGATAGAAACTTTCTTTGTGTTTGTGTTAAAGGGATGGGTTGATTTCTGAATATATGTAAGCAGATTTAGGTAGGTGTTTAATCAAAAGGAAGTGTCTGGGGTAGTCCCTTACATTATTATGATGCTTTGCTATGCTATGCTATGCTCTTAAAGTGTTTTACTGTTTTGTCTTTTTT